GTTCTAAGCAATAAATTCCATCAAAGATGGTCACACCACATAAAAACTCAATCCTATTATTAAATTAAAACAATAAGTCCAATGATACAGATGGCAAAACTAAACTTTATACATACTTCAGAAATAAAAGAGTCTAAAGGCCAGCAAGCTCCAATTTTGCTATTAAGTACCTTCATCTGTAAAAGACCGATGGCTTTGGATTTGTTTTATAAACCTAAAACTAACCAGGAAATAACACCAGTACCTTGAGCATGCAGGGTGAGTACTTTTATTACTTTCTGAAAAGGCAGCTAGCTGATGCCGGGCGGTGGTGGCGCACGCCTTTAATCCCAGCACTTGGGAGGCAGGGGCAGGTGGATTTCCGAGTTCGAGGCCAGCCTGGTCTACAGAGTGAGTTCCAGGATAGCCAGGGCTACACAGAGAAACCCTGTCTTGAACCCCCCCCCCAAGAAAAAACAAAAAAGCAGCTGACATTATCATATCAAAAAATGAAGCAATATATAATGAAACAGCAACAACAACAACAAAATGCTTTTTTTAAAAAAAACCCTTTACCTTAATCTCATTATCAATTTTTTTTTCATGTTTAGCTTCCTAGCTTAGTACTTAAACACTACCTAAATACAATAGAATTGAACATGATTATGGAAAAAAGTGAAAAAAAACATAATTTGTTAATCTACTTCTAGAAAAATATAGTTGGGAGGGCAAAGCCAGTTAAATTCAACAAATCTGGGGATGTAGATGTCTCAGTAGTTAAGAGCACTGGCAGCTCTTCAGAGAACCCAGGTCCAACTTCCAGCACCCACATGGCAGCTCAAAACCATATTTAACTACAATTCCAAGGTATCCAACACTCTCTTCAAACCACCCTGGGTACTACACATATGCATAGTGCATATACATACATGCAGACAAAACATGTAAGTAAATTCAGCAAACTCTCTGCTATAAAATAACTACAAAAATGGTTGTTTATCTAATGGTACCATTCAAAGAAACCTGGCAAGGATCCTAGAACTCTCTAACTGAAAGATACTCTCACAAGATCAAGGTATAATCCAAGGACTTAGCCAGAAAGCACTATAGTATTTCTCTCCATAATTCCAGATCTACTCCCTAACTCTATTGGATACTGGTGATGTGAACAACGAGCCATGTGTTTTAATTTGTACCCATCTCAGAGTACTTTAACTTCAACTAACTTTTTTCTGGCATAGTAAACAAGGCAAGTAACATGGCTTAATTTAAGATATGCACACCACTTTAGTGGAGAGGTGCAACAAATACATATGCTTGATAACAGGAAAAAATATCAACACTGGAAATTTAGATTTGCAGTAGAGAAAATATGGGTGATAGGTTCCAGGAGGGTGGTGGGGACAGCAGGACACTGCTTGAAAATTTAGTTGCCTTTCTCATTTTACATAATCAAAACAGAGTACATAAGAAAAGAACTGCAATTTCATTTTGATTGTCCAATTAAGTCATTGATCTGAGTAAGAATTCCACTGTAAAGACTGTTGAGGGATATTATTTACTGTTACGTGTACCACTCTGTATTATTTTCTTGTCTTAAGGTCTCCAGCCTTCTAAAAGATCCTCACCATTACCCAGGAACCCCAAAGTTCGCTGCTACATATTAAGACCATTCTGCAGGTCAGAGTCCCCTTCTCTCAAAACCACATTTGATATTTTAAAGCATAAAAGAAGTAAAGTACTGTTTCTCTCTCTAAAATGACATCAATTCAAGATTTAAGAACAATGAGCCATAATGCTAAATAATTTCTCCAAATCCTAGAACAAATGGCAAGATAGGAATAGCCACTAGATGGCAACATCGCTTTTAACATGTTCTGCTTGGTGTTAGCAAAAGTGTTAAAAACCCTTTTCTCCATCTCCCCTTTCACGGGATCACAGAGAAATGCAGCAGACTTTGGTTACTATTTAAAGAAGTTTTATCTTAATAATGGCAATTTTTAGAAGCATTAATAGGTATCTGTGTTTGTTCATTAGTTTGATTACTTTGTAAGTCACAACTTAGCATTTTGGTTTTGATAGTTCTGTGGATTGGGCTGCCGGTCTCAAAAACACCAGATAAGGGGCTCTATCACTAAGCAACATTTTAAGCTCAGTTTTTAGAGCTGTAAAATTTTGTTCTTTTTTGAGGACGTCATTTGTTTTGCCTGCCTGTATGTATGTTCCATGTGCATGCCTAACGCCCATGGAGGCTAGAACCAGAAGATAGAATTAGATATCCCGGAACTGGAGTTCCAGATGGAAATGAGGTGTCATGTGGTTGCTAGAAACCAAACCCTGGGCCCTCTGCAAAAGCAGTAAGTCCTGTCAACTACTGAGCCATCTCCCCCAGGTGCAACTTTGGAGATATTAAATCCATCATCATAACATTTAGAGTCATGACACTAATTTACTAGCTTAACCAAGATTTCACAGCGACCCCAGTACAGTGGCAGAGGTTCCATCAAGAGGCCTATTCAAGACAAAGCTGAACTATAAAGTATGTTGGAGGCCAACCTGGGCTACACGGTGAGACCTTATCTCAAGAAACAGGACTTTACAACTGATTAAAGGGTAATGCAAAGACAACAAACAAAGTCTCTCAATCTAGAACTATTTTATTTTCTTCAAACTTAAAAACAGTAATAATAAGTGTGCTCTTATAATTTTTTTCTCTAAAAGACAGTAAATTTCAACTTTTTTGGAAAATACTCTGTCCTATGGGAAAGTTGATTTCTCCAGTAAATATTAAAAACATTTTTTAAAAAACACGCAAAATAGAAGGGATATCTAAAGAAGCAACTCCCCTCAAAGATAAATGTTTGCTTATAAAACAAATGATACAAAGTTGTTTTTTTCATTAATTTGACTCCCTCCCCAGAAAGAACTTACTATTCACAACTTTAAGATTGAAAATTACAGGGTTATAAATTTCTCTAGCCTCAATTCCTACATCAATCCACCACGAGAGACCATGTCAGTGAACTACCACATCTTCTCTCTCTCTCTCTCTCTCTCTCTCTCTCTCTCTCTCTCTCTCTCTCTCTCTCTCACACACACACACACACACACACACACAGTGTCAAAGATAGATATCATGTATGTATGTATGTACATACATACATACATACATACATACATACATACATACATACAATAATTTTTATCGGGAACATCTATTTCAAATGCATGGGAATACCTTTAATAAATAACCTATTAGCTGTAAAATATTAATAAATTAGGATGAAACATAAGAAACTAAGAAGAATGAAAGATATTCATTCAAATATGATAGTTAAGTCGCATCAAGGACAATATAACTAGAGTGAAATATCAAGAGATTAAGAAAACAGAATCATTAATTAACCAAAATTACTCCAAATATCCAGAAACTTTTAAAAACTTTAAAAAATTATTCAAGTGAAGTTTTAGACTAAGTAACATTAAGACCATTTTCTTGACAAATTCTACCAAAAGATACATTACTATATGGTAGAAATATTTAAAAATTTAGCCCCAGGTACAGAGGTATACATATTTAATTTCAACACTTGGGAGGTACAAGTAGTTGGGTCTCTGAGTTCAAGGTCAGCCTGGGTTATATTATGAGACTCTGTTTTACTTTATACAAATAAAAAGAGTTGAAAACCTGAACTCTATATAGGTCCTTCACCCTGTCAACACATACCTTAAAGTCATTTAGTCCTTCACAATAACGAAGACACAACTGAATGTGTCCAACAACAGAAGAATTAATGAAGTATGGTATATGTGCACATTAGAATATCATGAATTTGGGTAGATAAGGAGGTAGGAGGATCTGGGAGAGAGTGTAAAGAATATGACCAAAATACAGTATATAAAAAAAATTCTAATAAAATATTTTATAAAAAATGCATACTGTGTTGTTACATGTTGTAACAATACGATGAACCTGAAGGACATTAAGGTAAATAAACCAGGAACAGAAGACACAGACCACATGATCTCATTTGTATATATAAGCTAAAAAAGTTCAATTCAAAAAATTAAAGTGAAGAATGGTAATTGCTAAGAGTTGTGTGTTGAAGTCTGAGAGTTGTTCAAAAAATATAAAATCTTCAGTTAGATGAGAGGAATAAGTTCAAGATATTTAACAAACAAGTTGATAAACCTAGTAACAATTTGGTGTCCTCTTCAAAGTTAACACATCTTAAACGTTCTAACCACCACTAAAAGAAACTGAGATAAGACTCTGGCTAATTCACCTGCTTTAGCCATTCTACAATGTTATTCATAGTTCAAAGCAATGTATTATATACATTGTTTAAATAGCTCCAGTGAGTTTGGAAAAAACAGACTACTGTAGATATAAGTAAAACAAAAACCATGAAGTCTAAAATAATAAAACAGAGGTTTAGAATTTAAATGTACTATTTGTAAAGAATATACCAAACTTTATTATTGAATATACAATTAAAATCCTTAATGTCTTTATCTGCATTAAACATTTATTAATTTTTTAAAACTTAAAATTCATTGTACTCATTTAAAGTCATACATTTTAACAGAAAATTTAATTTATCCACCATTTAAAATCAAATTTATTTAAAAATTGAATAAAAAATGTTAAGATTAAGACAGCCAAACCAGTTCCTCCCCCCTCCCTTATTACTCAGGAAACATAAATGTTAAATTAAAAAAAAAAAAATCAGAGCTGGAGAGATAGTTCAACAGTTAGAACACTTGGTGCTTTTTCAGACACCTAGGTTCAGTTCCCAGCACCCACATGGGAGTTCACAACTCTCTATTAACTCCAGTTTCGGTGGCTCCAAAGGCCAGCCCTCCTCTGACTCCTCCATAGGTATAAGACATGCATATGATGAACATACAAACACACAGCCAAAGACTCATACACATAAAATTTAAAAAATTAATATTCTAAATATAGCTTTTAAAACTGAACTTAGTGCTTACATTAATTTGTTTCAAGGTACTCTTACCTTTCTTCTGAGCTATACAAACGAGCAAGTCCAAAATCTGCAAGCTTTATCTGTCCTCTGGTAGAAATAAGACAAAATAAAAAAGCATGAGTCTATCATGGATTTGATAATATATACTTATATTCTATTGCAAGGGCTCAATGAAAACACATTAAAAACAAAAACACACATAAATTTTCTCATTGCACTGCTATACTTCAGGCAAGGTTAACTAATGGGAAATTTTACAAGTTAATAATTAGTATTTTGCTTTGGATAGTTTCTTGGTATTGTTGTTACGGGCCCATTCAATCATACATATCTAAATATTCTTAATTTTCAGATTCAGCTGGATATAGATCAAAACTACCGGAGGGACTATACTGTTCCAAAGATGTACAGTCATGTGTGTTAATATTTCCTACATAATAGTGTACCAACTATTTATATAACATTTGCATTTTAAATAACCAAGACAAATACTATCTTATTTTATAAAGACCCTTAGATCCCGATCCCTAGGTATTATTAAAAAGATGCAGTCTAAAACGACCCTCCAACTGGGCCCAACACATGCACTTAATGGTGTTAATATAACAATATCTCAGGTGCTAGCTACTTCAGTTCCTACTTAAGAAAGTACCTCAAACAACACCTTGGTCTAGAAATATTAATAGTACTCAAAAACTAAATCACATTATTTAAAATGTATGTTTAATTTTCTAACTCTTAAAAGGTTGGGATGCACAAATTATTTTCTACCATTTAAAACCAGGTGATTGATCCATGTTTTACTCAAATTTTAAAAATAGTACTAAGCACAAGAATAATACTAGAATTATGCTGTTTCTGAAAATATTTACCATAAATCATATATAAATATTTTAAAAATACATGTAAAAGATCTAATACTTGGAGGTGGGATAAGGACAAAGCAATAACTCAGAAGCTAAGAGTGCTGGCTGCTCTTCCAGAAAACCAGGGTTCCATTCCCAGCACCCATTTGGTAACTAACAAACATCTGTAACTCCAGTTCCAGAGTATCTAACACCCTCTTCTAGCTTCCACAGACACTGTAAACATTGTACACAGACACACAAGCAAGCAAAACACTCATTCAATACAAATAAAATTTTTAAAAAAAGAATTTAATTTTTTTTTGTAAAACCTGTACATAACCTAAAGCTAAAATCTTATTATCCATTATTAGATTCATTCATTTCAAATTATCTGGAAGAATACCAAGCAAAAAGGACGCATGTACATTGCAAATCATTACTGGAGCTACTGGAGAACAACTGTAGAGGCAATACTAACTGACTGTTGCTCCTTATCCAAGATATTAAAAGCAATAAACTGAATTTATAGGAAGTTATCTATTAAATTAACACTTTAAATACATAAATTTCATATTCATACCTATTATTTAGAAGGATATTTGAACACTTAATATCTCTATGCAAAAAGTTCTTCTTATGACAATAATCCAGGCCTTCCATGAGCTGTCTCATAAAAGATTTTATATGGTTTTCATTAAAATGAACCAAGCCTGATTCCAGCAGTCCCATCAGATCATGGTCCATATATTCAAACACCAGGTAAAATGCACCTGAGAATGAGAATAATTAACATATTAAAGGCTTTTATTCCTACAACCTATCTAGAGGTTCAAATAACTTTGATAAAATACTGGTATAAGGGAACTGATCCTTGAAAATAATAACGACTTTGTCGTTTACTTGTAAGACTCGTTTACTCTCTCAGAACTTAGTATGAAAAATATGCGTCTCAAGAAAACAGCAAAAGCAGTTTTCTTCTAATGAGAGCCATTATGATACAGATCATCTTTGCTAATTTCCACACTATTTATAGTTTTTGATCTGATTAAATTCTTCCCTGTATCAGACAAATTGTTTTTCAGAAGAAATTGAATACAATTTGTATGGCTCAAAGAATATTAAAAAGTTGTACAAAGAATTGCTTTTAATACACGAATGTGAATCCAAATAGACCAAAGTTATCTTTAGGTGATTTATATTAAATTTCCTTATATAAGACTGTATTTGTAAGCATAAAAATTACAACTTTATACAACCAGTGTTTAGTGTTTAAAACTCTTAAATAAAACTTATACAAATTGAATCCAAAATTAAATAAATAAACATTATAATCAAGCAAAGCTTTACAAAGTGAGTTCTACAAAGAAGCTCTGTCTTGAAAAACCAAAACAGAAAAAGAAAAAAGAAAAGCTAACAAAAGCCATGTCATCATCTATGAAAAGAGAAAAACTCGTATTATGCCAAAGAAGACACCCAACACAATTCACAATCAGCTCCTAACTTTAAACAGAGCAAAGAACTTTTAAAAATGACACAATAGAAGGATGTCTTCTAAAAATTTATTATAGTACCTTTCTGAAGACAAGAACCAGTGGCATGCATATTTGACAAGAAAATGCTAGGCACTGTTTAAGACAAAAATCTTCATGGTTACTAATTTTGTGTAGATGTTAATGTGCAAATTTTAAGAAGCTTCAGGGTCAATAAGAAAACCTATCTCTGGAAAAATTACATAAAGATAACAGGACAGCCTTCATCCCCCTCCAGCCTACACCATAGGAGCACACATTCTCACAAATAAAAACTTTTTAATAATACTACAGTAATACAAATGACAAGATACAAATGACTAGGACTAAATTATAACAAGAATTAAACATCAAAAGAGAAAATACTATAATGTAATTTCAATTAAAAAAAAAAACTAGTGGCTAGGTTTTATTATTTTGCCTGAGGAGGTGAGCACTTAACTTGACAAAATAACTGTAAAATTCACCTTGAGGAAACTGTATCTGATCATCATCTAAACACTGTTGAAAATATACTTTGCCCTACAAGAAATTAATCTGCCCTATCACGCTTAAAGACAGAACAGTGAAATAAAATACACATCAGAAAACAAATTACAAATGTTTACCCATTAATTATGGAAACATTAATTTCAAGATTAAATAAATAATAAAATAATTGAAAAAATCATTTAGGTAAAATTATAATCCAGAGGGAGATAAGCAGTACCATCACAGATAAACTAATGAAAATCTAACTTACAGCTTCCACTAAATAATGACTCAGGACTACTACTAGAAAACAATATAGAACAGGGAAAAGACAAATGGGAAATATTGTCCGCAATATAACAAAGTAAGCATCCTTAATATAAAAGAAGGCCTATAAAACCAATACAAAAGAAATGTATCCCATAGCTCATTATGAGAAATACAATGGATGTCAGAAAGCCACAATGGTGTATGCAGGTAACCCTAGCACTTTAAAGGTAAAAAGAGAGGATCAGAAGTTCAAAGTCTCTGGGTGGTGGTGGCGCACGCCTTTAATCCCAACACTTGGAGGCAGAGGCAGGTGGATTTCTGAGTTCGAGGCCAGCCTGGTCTACAGAGTGAGTTCCAGGACAGCCAGAGCTACACAGAGAAACCCTGTCTCGAAAAACCAAAAAAAAAAACAAAAACAAAAAAACAAAAAAAAACAAAAAACAAAAAAAGTTCAAAGTCATCCACAACTTTGTATCAGGTTAAATGGAGCCTCCAATATTTAAAAAAAAAAAAAAGGAACAAACAAAAACAAAACGGTCCAAAACAACATTAAAGATGCTTAATCTCATTATAACTCCAAATATACATATCAAAACAATATGGTATTTAAACAAAAAGATTTCAAGAGTATATACAATATTAACACAGATGTAGTGGGGGAAACATAGTATAAATATTTATAAGATATGTCTTATTTCCAATTGCACAACCCAGAGTTAGCTAGGAGCCCACAGGTAGCTACTGAGCACTTATGGCTTAGTCAAAATTGTTTTAAATATAAAATATGCACCAGATTTCAAATACTTAATATAAAACAAATTTAAAATATCTTAGTAATACACTACAGTGAGTTAGGTATTAAGTACAGAGGCATGAAACAGACAGAAAAATCTCTAATGCAAGGCCAAACTGGTAATTATATAACAGGATCTTGACTCAGAGATATATACTACTACTACTAAATGGTAAGAATGGATAATCGGCTAGAGAGAGCTGAATGGTTAATTGTCCTTGTTGCTCTTGTAGAACTGAGTTCAATTCCCCACACTGATATCAAGTGGCTTACAACTGCCTGTAATTATAGCTCCAGGAGATACATCCTCTTCTGAACATCCACATGCACACATGTGCACAAACACACACACAAATACAGAAACAAAATCTTCAATAATTTATGATAAACTGATTATATATTGAAATTACCCACTACACACTGAGCTAGAAATTATTAAAGTTGAGTAATTTCATCTGTTCCATTCTGTAACAAAATCATTAGATAATATTTTAATTTGAAATAGAAAGCTTCCGATTCTGTTTCTATCAAGTAGCAATGAATGGGAGGCTTACAAACTAAAATAATACAAGATGACATTCCATTTCCAGAAACCATAAAATTCAATGGAAAATTATTAGAAAGAGTAAAAACAATGCAGAAAAATAGTCATTAATATTGGCTACCAGTTAAAAGATAAAATATCAGTGTGGTGCTGTAAATGATAAAATGACCCCATAGGCATACGTACTGGAACACTTGATGCCAAGTTAACAGCACTGAGAAGATTATGGAATCTTTAAGAGGTGGAATCCTGTAAGTACATCAATGAGGGCAGGCTTTCAGGTTTCTAGACTGAATTCACTTGTGATTCCCTCTCACTACTTCCAGTGTACAAATGAAATGCGATCACTCTGCTTCCTCACTGCCATGTCATAGCTTCCCCACCATGTTGGACCACATTTCCTCATGAACTATAAGCCAATAAAATTTTTCCCCTAACTTTGTTTTTGTCTGGGTATTTTATGACAGCAAAAGTAACAAGTACAATCAGTGAAAGGTTTTTTTTTTCTCTACAATGTGTAAGAGCATCTGAAAAAGAAAAGGGATATATAAACAATAGCTCTACATTCCTATTTTTAAAATTTTTAATTATAATGTAAATTATTTCTATAATCAAAAAGTGTGATGCAAGAAATCAATACAGATTCCAAGTACACACTAAACTTATACTGTAGAATAGACTGTGATGCTGGGAGACAGCTCAAGTGACAGGCAAGCAAGAGGACCTGATTACAGATTACCAGCACATATGTGCAAGGCACAGCTGCATTGACTTTAATATCAGTGTTGGGAAGCAGGAGAGAGACCGATTCCCAGACTAGCTGACAATGAGAAAACCTGTCTCAAACACTAAAGTAGAGAACAATTTAAGAATACACCTGATAGTGACCTCTAGCTTCTACATGCACTTAACATAGCCAACAAACAGGTACCTACACCACACATATACCTACCTACCACCCAGAGACAGAGAGGGAGATAGAGAGATAGAACACAAAAATGTATTTCAAGCAGTAAAATGGTCTTCTAAGTAAGTGGTAGTAAGATAACTGAACACCTACTCAGATACAGTAATGAAAAAAGAATCCTAAGAATGTCCATCAACATAAAAAGCAAACATATCAATTATAGAACTAAGAAATAAAAACAGAAGAAATATTTGTTGAAAATAATTCCCTATTGTGAGAATAAGGGAAAACACCCCTAACCAGCAGTCAACAGCACAAAACAGTAGTAAGATGACAAATAAGTGTGATTATTATTTTTAAGTTAGAAAAACAGACAGATAAATATTTATCACTAGAAGCCCTATGCCAAAATGCTAGTGAAAAAATGTATATTGTGCTTTCAGTAAAATCAGGAGAAAGAATAAACAATATGCCCAGGACAGTGGTTCTCAATCCATGGGTCACCACCCCTTTGGAAGATCAACAACCCTTTCACAGGGGTCATCTAAGACAACTTGAAAAGCCAGATATTTACCTTATGATTCATAACAGTAGCAAACTTAGCTGTGAAGTACCAATGAAAATAATTGTATGGTTGAGGTCACCACAGCATGAGGAATTATATTAAAAGGTTACAGCATTAGGAAGGTTGAGAATCACTGGCCTGAAGCTTATCCTTCAGAGAAAGTTTTTCTTAGAGCTTAACCAACAAGCCTCAACTCTGGTACACTCTGCTTCCATGTCAATTAGAGTGCAGAAAAGCCAGCCACAGTTAAAAAGTACCTATGAACATCACAGCCTTGGAGCACAAGCCTGCAAAAGACTAAAGATATAACAGTTCTCCTACCTCCAATTTCATACCATTAATAGGCTCACAACTGACAAACTAGAGTGCATCAAAAGGAGCTCAGGCTCTATTTAAAAAAAAAAAAAAAATCAAACAAACTGAAGAATGAACTAGAAAGACAAGCCATAACAAGAAAGGAAATTTTAGCCTCAAATACTAGCAAGTATAGAAAATACTAAAAATAGTCCAGACAAATAGCCAGGTGAGTATAAAACCTTACACTGAAGACCTATGTACCTCAGAAATAATAAATGTATTATTTAGGACTTCAAAGAAAATTTACAAGACATATTAAAACACAGGCTCAAGAAATACAATTAAGCATCAACTTCAAAAGTAAATACAATAGATGTATTAGAATTGTCTGATG